AACCTTGCACCGCGGCCCAACTGCCAACTCCCACGACCCAAAAAACTTTCCCAGGCTCAAGTGAACTCATAGCTACTCGCATAATGCCATAATTTAATCGCAGACCTTTACCTCGTTCTTTACAGAGTCGATTCCCCAAATTACTGTTACGAAAATAATTCTGTTCCTATCGACTGGATTAAATCTTCCAATTTTTTTGGTCGCTAATGTATTCCGCCCATAGAAACAACTGCATCCCGAAATACACAGTTTGACGTGCAACGCGAATTTGGCCAATCGTGATAATGTTTAATTTTTTATTCGAAATTTAGCTCTAAAACCGAGAGAGGTTGGAACATCTCCAGAGGATAAAGTCGTCAATTGCTTGGCAATTCAATTAAGCATTTTGTATGTTTACTACACTATTAGCCCATTTTAACAAAACGATATCGTCTTTTTTATTATTGGAACGTAGAATGGCGAAGACGCAATCGGACACGTGTTCACTTCTTCTAAAAGGTTGTTAATTATTTATAGAATGTTTTGTATTGAAAATATGTAAACAGCTCAGACGCATATTTTGTTACGTGCCCTGCAGATGTTTACGTCGAAGCAATTTGCTGTTGTGGAAAATTTGTGAGAGTTTTGCAATGACTACGACATTGTCGGTCTTGATGCATATCTAAACTTCATCAATCAAACAGGGGAAAAATGTGTATGCCGTTTGGCTTGAATAACGCTCCAGCATCCACTAATGGCCAAGTGTATGTTCATTTTCTGATAAAATCATGTATACATAAGTTACCATTTACGAAAAATTAAGTTTTACATGAGTGAAGATCATAGCCATTCAGTTTAATTAAAAGTTATGTTTTCAATTATCATACTTTCTAATGGTTTAACTACGAAATTAGGCCAAGCGTATACGACGCCTTGCACCCATCTTAAGCACGTGATTGATGGTCACGTTGTTACCGATACCGCACTGTATCCTGCCCTACCAAAAATTTCGTTGCGGACGTGCGTAACGACAGCGATGCAACAGAATGAATATTAAGCAATAAATTAAATACTAATAACAGCTTCAAAAACCTAAACACGAGTGCATTGGACAGTGGCGTGCGTCGAGCGATACGCGTGATGGATGGCGGTATGTAATGTATTAAGTTAGATTAGAATTTAATGTACACAGCCATTGGTCATTTCAAACAGATGTCTGCGGGCTTTATCGCGCTACGAGAATTAATGGGGCTTATAAATAATTGTCGAATGACGGTAATCTCGGTGATTAATTTTCATGTACTGATCACCGTAAAACATATGGAAACCCTCAACTACTTGACCTCCTAGTCGTTTTTAATTTTTCACAGCTGCAACAGACAGTAATGTTCTATTTGTACTGATGCAACAAGTACACAAATATCCAAAATGAACTACATATCGTTTTAAATTATTAGACAGGGTGGCTCAGAGTAAATGAAACATTTTAAACTATTAACGAAAAAAAAACGTGTGGCGACAATTAAAAATAAGTTAAAAAAGTAATCGTAAACGATTTGTAAAAAGGGAATTTCTACTTGCATTCATTTCCCATTTGTAAGGTGCAACTTCTATTAAAATTTCGTAAAAATCCGACCACAAATAAGAAAGTTAGAGTTGCATATGTGCAATCCATTTTTGACCTGCTACTTCAATTTATTTCAGTTTATCAGAAGAATCCTACCCTAAAATTGAGGAAGAATTGATTCACAAATAACAAATCTGGGTCTGGACATGCGCACCAATTGTTTTGCGTGTTTGTAGTCGCATCGAATTGCGCATGCGCTAAACAAATTTTTTGATTCGACATCAGTTTCACGTTTATTTGAGGAAAATTGGACTGCGCAAATACAAAAGTACTCGTGCATAACGCACAACTGCACACGGACAGACAGACGGGCAGGCTACAACATTATAAACGATCTCGAGGATAGTTAATAAACGGCAAAAGTGTAAAATTATGGTACATGAAAAACAGATTTTTTACCATAACTTTTTTCTTAAGCGGCACAGACAAAATTCCTTCCTTGGTGCAAGCCTCTACACTATAACGAAATAGTAGCGACCGGACGGACCGACAAAGTGGCCACAATCGCGCATTTTTTTTATGTTTGTGGAAATGCGCTAAAAAGAGTGGTTGCCCTTTTATGCGAAAGATGACTCTCGAACAAAGGGTCTTAAATGTCACCAACCTGACAGGGATCAAAGTAAAAGTAATCTGTCGGATCCTTCAATACTACATTGTATCGGTTTATTCGATTCTATGCCTTGGTTTGAAATAGACACTCAATGCGTTTGAGGAAAAAGTTTAAGCAACAAAATAAAATGAGCATCTAGAGTGTAAAACGTCAAAATACACTCCCTCCTTTCGTTAAATACTTTAAAGTATATACCAAATTCAAGATCTTGCTGCATGTTTTTTTTGCGCATTTTTTACATGTAGGTGCAATAATTATTCAACAAGTTAAAAAGTAATCGTAAACGATTTACATAAAGCGCATTTCCACTTGCATTCATTTCCCATTGTTAAAATCGTAAAAATCCGACCGCAAATATGAAAGATAGCGTTGCACATGGGCAACCCCATTGTTGACGTGCTACTTCAATTTCAGTTTATGAGAAGAATTTCATTTCAATGCTTTTCTAAATAAGAAAGTTGGAACTGCGCATGCGCAAACCTAAATTTTAAAACTAATTTTAGATTTTCCTTTGTTCCAAGCGCCTAAGTATCAAATTTCACTTAAATAGTTCCATAGATAAAAAAGTTGGCACTGCGCATGCGCAAAGCCAAATTTTGAAACTGGCGTTTGATTTTCCTTTATCCCAAGTGCCTATGTATCAAATTTCGTTTAAATTCTTCCATAAATAAAAAAGTTGGCAAAAAGTTGGCACTGCGCATGCGCAAAACCAAATTTTGAAATTGCGTTTGATTTTCCTTTCTCCCAAGTGCCTATGTATCAAATTTCATTCAAATACTTTTATAAGTAAAAAAGTTTGCAATTCGGTTTATAAATGGTCGAAATGCGAAAAGGGCACTGTGAATTTTGAATCGATTCGACTCAACTTTTGGCATTGCGTATTATATGGCTAAAGCTATGCCCATATTGAATTTCATGCAATTCAGTTCATAACTAACGGAGATGTAAAAGCGATCGAACATTTCTAAACAAAGTTATCGTTCACACGGACAGATAGATGGACAGACAGACAAAGGAACAGACGGAGAGACCAACCGGCAGGCGACAGATAGCAATGCAAAATTATAAACGATCTCTAGGATCGTTAATAAACGGCAAAAGTGTAAAATTATGGAACATGTAAAAAACGGTTTTTTGTTTTTTTTACAATAACTTTTTTTGTAAGCGGTACAGAAAAAATTCCTTCTTTGGTACAAGACTCGACACCATAACGAACCAAATAGCGAAAAAAGTAGAACAATAGCTCTTAAGATAAAGAACTAGTAGCGTCGCAAAGTTAGCGGACGGACGGACGAACAAAGTGGCCACAATAGCGCATTTTTTTTTTATTTTTGTGGAAATGCGCTAAAAAGATTCAAACGGTTTTAAACAAATTTAAACATTTAGAATCATTTGAACTTTTTTTAATTTTTTAATATCTCTGGTGTGTTATATTTTTGAAAAGAGAGATTAATGTCATCTTTTACATTAAAATATACAGGGTGTTTCATTGAAACAGTAACTTAGGTCCGATAACTTTTTTACTTGACCTCGTATACTAATTTTGAAAACGGCAAATTATTCAACAATCATTATAATGAACTTTTTGCAATAAACATTTTTCTTAACTATAAAAATATGGTTCATTCAGAAATTGTCATATGAGTTATTCTTGGAAATTCCTGAAAATATCGAAGAGTTTTTTTACATGCATTTTTTTAATAAATTGCACCAATGTTGTAAAAAACGAAACCTTCACAAAACTTCTTGGTTTTGGCAAGTGTATAAGCATCATAAAAATATCTAGAAAAGATAGTTTGTATTCAAAAAGGTACCATTATAATTAAGAGAAAGTAGTGCACAACGCCATTAGTAAACTCTACATTAAGTGGTGCAATAGATAATGCAAATGGACAAAGAATAAAAATGCATATCAGCTAAAAATTGGATTTTTGAAAATTTAAGAAATTTATTTTTTAATAATTTTTTTGAATATTTTCAGAAATAAGCAATTTTGCAATTTCTGTTTTAGAAAAAAACCGTATTTTTTATTTCGCTCCAAATTGATGAAACCAAATTTAGAATAAAACTAGTAATAAAACAATCACATATTATGAAATGCTTTACTAGCCACATTGTATGTATATTTGTATAATTTATAAGTATTAATTTAAAAAAATTGCAAGTTGAACCTTTTTATTGCGTATTATGAAAATGTCAATTGCTAGCATACAACAATTTTATACCGTTGGTTCGAATGAGTTTCTTATTATCAGGCTCTAAAGTTAAGAAAAACAAAAAAACTGGCATACTTGATCCTTTACCTTTCTTTATCAAACAAGTTGTAAATCAGCATATGCATGATTAAAGCGCATTTTTGGTAATGCAGGTCAGTATTTTATTAGCGAAGTTTAAAATTATCGATCTCCCGAGTAATTTTGGCTGCGTTAAATAATTAATTTTATTTAATTTCAATTGACGGTACGTCTTCATTTTGTAAAACAAATCACAAAGTAAATAATAAGTTTTTATACTGGTAGCGCTATCTAACGGTAAAATTATAGCACCTCCGAAACCCATATCGAAATTATTTTCTTCAATTATCTATCTCACAAGTAATGTAACTCAAAATAGACTAGTGCCTGCACATCTACACTATACCAGGGAGCTTTTAGTGAAAATTTGAAGTCTCTAGCTATTGTAGTTGTGGAGATCTAACGCGGACAGCCGGCCTGCCAGCAATAACGAATATAATAGCGTATTTTTTTCAAAAATGCGCTAAAAATAATTTCTACTGGTACTGGTTTACCCAAGTTTACTTAAGTTTGTGGTGCTCTTTGTGCTGTTGCAAAAATATATCATAACTTTCTAAGTCTAGATGCACCTCTAAACGAAAATGTGAAACAAATTTTAACATGATAATAGCGAACCCAAAATCAATTTTTGAAATTTCGAAAAGACAGTTCTAACTGCATTTGTTGGTCCAAATAACCAGAATTTTATGGTGGAGCGCAATTTTTCTACTCATCTGTAATACGCATTATTACAACTTTATGACGTAATGTACTATTTCCATACACAGGGTCCTTCCCGATAAGCGTCAGTAACGTTTATCGAAAAGAGTTCAAAATCATTTTATTAAATTCCGATTTATAGTTAGTTATAAATGTAGCTATATGGGAAACGATATCGTAAATAAGATTTAGAGAAAAAAGTTTCAGTTCCACTCCACGAGACGTAAATAGAGGGCGATCCAATATTCCAAAGTTGGACAACTCAAGGGGTAGCTTTGGACGCTATAACAAGCACCTGTTTCCGCCTTGAAATTACCAGTTTTAGAACACCAGGTATCTAACAGCGTTTTAAGCTGGGCGCTTCGTTACAAAGATTGTAGCTCCGAAAATATTTGTTTCTGTATACGAGTTGGAAATATAAGGCCGAACTTAGTAGGTCCATTTGTAGAGCCGCCCGTGAAGGAAAATAGGGGGCCGTATGTAATTTGCCGTTTGCAACCGTTCCTGTAGGAATATTTAAATTGTTTTTACAGCCGCCGAAAGCTCTCTTGCCAGGGAAGAAGAGAGAGAATCAATCTTATTCAGTTTTAGATCCGATAATTACCCATGAAACGAGTTTAGTTTTCTAATGATATACGAAATCCAGCATTAGAACCAAGGTCGTGCAGTATACTTTGTTTCACTGGTGCTGAACCTGACGTCATAAATGCGATTCTCTCTTCATTACATTTAAATCGATTGAGACAAAAAAATTACGTCATTAACGTAAGTCGTGACAAATAAACCAATTATTGATCTGTCAATAATATCAATCCGTCAAACGATTTTCGTTAGATTTCCAGTGTTTTGAGACTTCCTCCATATCACTGCGAGTATAATCCAATCGAAATGGTATGGTCAGAATGCAAACGGCATTACGATGCAAGGATCGGTTCAATTCAGCCTGTCACACACAGTGCCGTTTTGTCTTTATGGAATGAGGCACTGCACAAAGTAACCTCTTTATATGCTGTTTTGTGAAACAGTACTTAATAACTTTAATGTTTAGGTTACACCGGAAAAATGGAAAAGATATTTTGATCATACAAGAGGCATTATAAACCAGGCCTGGGAACGGGAACAACATATTGATACATCAGACATCTTACCTGTGATTATCAACTTGGACGAATCTGATAGTGACGAAGATTATTATGGTGATTATATTCATGAGACAGAAGAGAATGAGCGTGTTTAAGAATATTATTTTGGGCCGTTTATACATATATACTTGTGGTGTAGTGTCGTTTTTTCTTTTGTACATACGATTTGAATATGAACATTTGAGTTTTTTCAGGAATAAATATCTTCACTACCTGTTTTCTCTCACAATTGCGTTTTTTTTAAATAAATCGGATCAGAAGATATTCAAGATCCTTTATGCGAATATCTCGAGTGTGTGGCAAAAGAACAGAAACTGTATGTATGCTTGTTATTTCAATGAGCCTGTGGTACGAGTATAATGCCTACGCTTTATCTCAAATTTGTAAGATATATAAATGCGAAAGGCCTACCGACAAACCATGGCCTATACGACTTCTGCAAATGGCTAGTTAAGGATCATTAAAATTCGCGCAACTTAACCTGTTCTGTCCGTTAGCCACTCTGAGAGACCCCTTGGTGTGAAGAGTACATCCTATTCCACTCCTTTTCGGTTCCTCAAATCATTTCTCAATAAGTGTACAGGTTTAGACTAGGTCCAAATAAACACATGAGCTGCTGGCTAATGAACTTATGTTCATATTAAGGGCGATAAAAAAACGCGTATTCTTCACATTGGTAGCATACTTAATTTCACATCAACATTATGTAAACAAAATATTAATTTACGAACTGCCTAAAGACAAACTTTAAGTTACAAATGTTCCTATGCGTTTTCTGTAACCATCATACACTTCATCTCAAAGAGTTTCTGATGCTCTGGCAGTATCCATTTCGACTGTCGGTGCAAAGAATCGGTTACATGAGGTGATTACAAACGGTGGAAAAAGTTTCATCTCGAGTTTAATTCATACCAACGGAGTTCCTCTACATAAAATACATGACCATTTAGCCATTATAAAACTTGGGGACAGGAAAAAACCTATCAGGACCAGATGCCTTACAAGTGATTGTCAACTTGGACGGTCTGATAATAATGAACGATAGTGACACCTTAATAAATAAGTTGAAACGTCAATGTGACAATATGTAAACCAACTACTAATTTACGACCTGCCTTAATTTTGCTATGACGTCAGATAGTGTGACGAAAGGTTCAGCACCCTTGAAACAAAGTATACAAATATCAACGTATAGGAGACCCCGCCATTTGACTTCACATTCCACGGAACAAACGGGTATTGCTGGACGCCGAATTTGGAGATATCATTCCAACTATTTAGATAAGTATAATTAATCGTAATTAGTTAAATGATTACATCCGTTAGGTGCGCTCTTAAAAAACTTGAATTTTGATACCGGTCCCGTACTTTTGAGTAGTAAGGACGTAATTAATTAAAAACAGTTTTAATTTTCCAGATTTATCGCAAGGACACCCCACCGTTCCCCCATGGAATAGTCGAATAAAACTTCGCCCATTTAAACATCAAGTCCAAAAATAAAATAATTTCATTTTACTAAGGAATTTGTGTAAATTTGAAACTTTAACGTCACAAAAATGGTCAAACTTTAACGATATTATACCCCTGAAATGTAACCCCGTTACTTTATTTTTGTTTTTATTATATACTTCTTATTTCTGCAAGATGTAAACAAACATTATGTCCGTTATTCATGGAAAAGGTATGCCGAAATCAATTTAGACATACCGGAAAAGCGGATTAAAACACATGTGCAAAATTCTACCGAGTTACTAAGCGGCTAAGAATGTAACCGTTTTTTGAACAAATCAAATCTAATTATTTGTTATCCAACCTGCGCTTGTTCGAAAAGGAAAAGTAGACGGCATGAGTCATAATCGGCAATGCCTTTTAAAACTAGGTATATAAATAGATAAGAACCCGGCAATGGCCCACTTGATTACCTCATATTTGAGAAGTTGACCTTTCCGCGGGCTAACAGCGTAATTTTTTGCAGCCTTTGCTCAAGTTGTTCGTACTACGAGATTTTTGCAAATGGGCAAGAAAGAGCACGTGGTTCATCGCCTTTCACAACGGAAGCCATCGGAAATGGCAATCGTAGTATCATATCCATCTAATAAATAAAGTCAAGGTTTGTAGGCTAATGGATTTGATTTAGTGGGCCTCCGAGCAAGGTTCATTTTTAAAATCGTAGAAAAATAGTTTCTAACGCGTCGTGAACGTGGAAGAAGAACTGAAAAAAAAGGCCTAAAGGAGTTCCTCCATATGCAGCAACTTGTCGGACCGGATAACGTTGCCAAGCTGCCTGCATCTGTGCACCGTGTAAAAATTTGCTCCACGGATGACTAATTTCGTTTAGGCGGAGCAGGGCATAAATCAACTTTCACTCGATGAACTCCAAAAATCAAGTCTGTCTCAACCTAATTCCTTACGTAACGAACGCTCTTCCGGCTTTGGACATTGACATTGATTGGTAAAGAGAAACGTTTCCCAAATCCGATTTCTACGTAAACTTGAAATAAACAGCCCTCAAATTAAATAATATACCCAATTAAATGCCAAGTCAAATCTCTGTATTTACATTCACCGGGCCAAGTCGATAATGCTTTTGTTATTTACACTGTGGACTAACACTAATGTATGGGAAATACGGGATTCATTCAAATAAATGCGTAATTTAATGTGTCGAATGTCGTCGTTTCTTTTTATCAAAAACACTGTGCACGCAACTCTAATCCGACGGCAAATCTGTATGTAAACAATTTACATATACAATAATAATAATAATAAGTGACATTTATTAGATTACTGGAAGTACAGAAGGAAATAAACATAAAATAAACATTCAAATAGATAATAAACTAAATAATTAAAATTAAATGAAAAATGAAATCAATGTTCCGTAATCTAACGGGGCGAAGTTCAGTTCTATGGTGAGACACCCTAGAACTGCTCTACCACTTAACCCCATCCTAAACTAAGAAAATAAAACAATTAGTGGAATGAACTTAAAAATATGTATATTGAAAGGGAGAGAGAGATAAATAAATCCTTCGTGGTTCTAAATAAAGAAGAAGAAAAAGAAAAAGAAAAGGGGAAGAAAAGTAATCATTTGTTTTGCTCGCGTAGAAGTAAATGAAAATAATTTTGTTTAAATGCGCCTTTTTCTTTTCTTTTTATATACGCGGGAATATTGTTATATACACTTGCTATGTTGTATGAAAAAGATCGCTTAAACATTTGCGTTCTATGTAGTGGAAGGGTAATTAATTTGTAATGTCGACTACTAGAACTGAATTTAATGTTTTCATACAGGTAGGTAGGCATCTTAGTAGAGATGATTTTATGAAATAAGGATGCAGAATGTAATAAATAATCTCCTTTTCGACATATTGAGCCAATCAATTTCTTTCAACTTGTGAGAGATGTGTTCATGCTTCCTTATTCCAAAAATCAGACGAAGGCATGAGTTCTGCATTTTCTGAATTTTATGTATTTCTGTGTTTTTCAAACAAGGACCATAGATTTGGTCACAGTAGTTAAACTGCAAAAGAACTAATGTTTCACACAGCATTGCCCTCACTTTACGATTAAGAAACTGTCGATGACCAAATATTAGTTTTAGGTTAATGTATGCTTTCCGGCAAGCTTCCGAGATGTGTCTTTCAAATCGCAAATCAGTGTCCAAGTACAATCCCAAGTTTTTAGCACACTCTTTTATTTTTATTATTGAGTTTTGAGTTTTAATCGATATGCAGTTCTTGACTAACTCTCTATCTTTTTTTGGACCGAACAACATAACAGAACACTTAGAAGTGTTAATTTTTAAACCGTGCAGTTCTGATATTTCTACAAGGTAGCCAATATCAGAGCTCATATTATCATTTGCTTGAGCAACATCAGATGCGTGGAAACTGTACAACAATTGTGTGTCATCTGCATATTGATATGCTGATAGATGTTTGAGCGCGAATTGAAATTTGGAAGTGTAACAGTGAAAATAAGACCGGACCAAGAACTGAGCCTTGCGGTACCCCAGATGTAGTGACCAGTTGATGTGAAACATTTTTCTTTTTGACAACCTGCTGCCTACGGTTTGTAAGGTAACTACGTAATAAAGAGCAAGCTTTGTCGCCAAATCCGGTTCGGTGCAATACATCTACAAGAATGTTATGGTTTAAAGTCAACAATAACCCCAGACTAATTAAAATTCGATAAACATACAAGCTCCCACACACCAATCAAGCTGAATTCACACAATTGTCTCAATTTAATCAATAAAATTAAAAGGTATGCGCTTATACATTACAAAATATGGAACAAATTCACTTAAAAATCAGTGTTGGGTTTAAAAAAAATGCTCGCACAGCCTATCATAATTTTTTCTTGCACATTTTTTTGCACTAAAGTGAAAAAAATGTACAGGGTGCGTGATAGTAGATTTTGATACCAAAGTTGATTTTTTTTAATGAAACGGTATTTTTTTAAATCCATTTTTGAATTATTTTTATTATGCGTAGAATTTGACATAGAATTCGAAAATGGATTTATGAAATACTGTTTAAAAAAAATCAATTTTGGTATCCAAATCTACTCTTTGACACATCCTGTATATTTTCTCTTTATTAGTCTTTAGTGCAAAATATGACGAGGAAAAAATTATGGTAGACGTGTGCGAGCATTTTTTTTTAAACCGAACACCTGATTTTTAAATGAATTTTACCCGCTCACCGTATGAATATTCTGAATAAGAAGTGCATGTTAAGAATTACACTTACGCATTTTCCAAAAATTGAAGTCATGTGATCGAAGTAGCGATAACAATTTCACTTTTAGCGTGACTACTTTTAAAGATGGTGTATGAACAAAGTCATTTTCCTATAAATGTTTGCGTAGTAGTCTGTACCTTGTATTCCGCCGCGTAGTTAGTAATTTTGCGTATTGAATAAAAACACTATTTTATTCAATGGTAGTAGGTGTCGTTTAAATTAATTTATTTTGAAAGCGAAAGCCGAAATTTATTATACTACGGAATATTAGTGTAGCCGAATTTTGCCATAAGTATATTACAAAGTACATGTTTTCTTTTAAGACGTTCCAAAATTGGTTACTTGTTCGTTTTCTATGAGTCGTGTAGATGTGAATTCAAGTAATGCTAACTTAGTCTATTTTCAAGTTTAACGTGTGCTTTCAGATTATGGAAGGAACAT